ACAATTCTAGACTTGTTTTGTCTTACCAGGATTTCCCTTCAAGCCAAGATATATGCTAGCGCTTACTGTCGGATCAAATCAGATGGAAATGGTGGACAAAGCTGTTCCAAGGTTGAAACATCCTAATTGCTTTCGAAAAAACATCTGGACACTAAGTTTGATGCTGCAGTTTGACAAAGACTGGATGATAGTTCTTTTTCACTACGACGCGCACACGGATGCGTGGGATCAGTTCGAGTGGTCTCAACGTGCCGTCCATGTTAGCGTGAGGAAGCAAACCAAATGGTATAGACTTTCTTTCACTTTGTCTTTGGTGTTTACATCTTCTTTCAGGTGGTATGCGAAGAGATTTCTGCATCCCGACGTGATAGAGCCTTTCGAATACCTGTTTCTTTGGGACGAGGATTTGGATTTAGAGCATTTTGACGCGCATAAGTACGTAGAGAGTGATGTTTTCGTGGCGCTCGTGCCTTTAAACTCTTCTTTTTTTCCTTTGCTTGTTTAATGCAGATATATCGAGCTTGTGAGGAAACATGGACTAGATATATCACAACCTGGGCTAGAGCCCGACAGAGGATTGACTTGGCAAATGACCAAACGAAGGGGCGATGTTGAGGTTCACAAGTTAAGCTTGCGTTTTCTTTATAACTTTTGGTAACGATTAACGTGTCTCTGTTTCTTTTTCTTTTGCTTTTTTTTTCATATGTAGAACCACGGAAGAGAAGCCAGGTTGGTGTAGTGCAGGGCCTCACAAGCCTCCTTGTGCCGCGTAAGTTTTGTGTTTAGTTTCTATTTATCTTCCTTGCTTCTAGCTATTTCTATCGACTGAGTTTGCTACAGATTTGTGGAGATCATGGCTCCAGTTTTTTCGCGCAAGGCCTGGCGCTGTGTGTGGCATATGATTCAAAATGACTTGGTGCATGGCTGGGGACTAGACTTTGGCCTGCAAAAGTGTGCAACGGTGAGCTTTGCCAGTACTTTGCTTTAATTATTTTTTCTTACATTCCATTCCTATGATTGAGCAGCCTGCTCACGAGAGGATTGGAGTCGTGGATGCACAGTGGATACGACACAAAGGCGTTCCGTCTCTTGGCTCACAGGCAAGTGCTCTCTTATGTTCAGAGAGAGTTTTGTACTCTTCTCTTTAGATTTTATGCTCTAATCGCTCTCTTTTGTGAACAGGGACAAGCCGTCGAGGGGAGACCACCCTGGGAAGGAGTAAGATGGTTTTGGTAGTAAGGCAACTTCCTTACTTTTCCTTTTGTTTTGTTTTTTCAGGTGCGGGTAAGGTGTAACAAAGAGTGGCGTATGTTTTCTGAGCGAATGAAGAGAGCTGAGGACATGCAGAAAAATGTAACCCTCAAAAGCCAACATTAGTACTACAAACATATTAGTCGAATACAATTATACCTTCTAAAGCACGTATATAAAAGAATAACAGCTAGCATCAGTAATTAAATCGTTAATGGTGCCACAGCTTGGAAATATTTATAGCTCTTGTTCTATCTAATGAGTTTTTCATCCTCCTCCTTTCTCTTGTCTACTCATTTTTCCTGATGCTGACAATACTCTTCATAGCAGCGCTCTGTCTCCTCCGAACAACAGGGCAGGGACTTGAAGGGAGGTGCGCGCTGCTAGAGACCACATTTCCAATCTGAAATAGGGAGAACAGTGATCATATCTGCCTCGGACAACCAATGGTGTACAGTGCGATGCAAGTCCTCTCCTGGTGCCACTACCACCCTACTAAAAGGTGTGGGCTTCACTTGGTGGAGCCACTTGAGCTCGACATAAACTATGAAAGGCTCTTGCAACTAACCAATTGAGGATGTAAGGGATTGTTTGTATCAATTGTGTCTCGTGAATCTGTGATATAATAATATGGAGGAATATTATAGAATTCTCTCGTATTTGAAGGATGAAGAATTCCTCGGTGTTCATCACCCCTTCTTCTCCAGCAGAAGGGAAGAATGCCACGATCTAACCTGGATTAGGCTCTCACCGGTGTTCCATGAGGGAGGGAAAAATAACATAAACTAAATTGAAAGCCCTTACAACCAAGCAATTGCCCTGTTAGGAAGATTGTTTGTATTGTTTGTATTGTTTACATTGGCTTCCATGCAGCCTTTGAGCTGGCGGTTGGGATCCAAGATGTTGACATCAGTTCTTCATCACTCATGTATGCAATATCATTCTCCATTTCCACATACATGCTCTATGATAATGCCATCGCCACCTAAAATCATTTGTGGCAATATAACCCTATCTTACGGGTCTCAATCAAGAGTATCATGGCTCCTTTGGTTGAAGTAGTGCTTGCGAAGAAGAAGATGTGGGGAGTGGTGTCTTGCATTGTGTTGCCTCCATGTTTTCTTTCATTTGGTTGAAGTAGCGCTTGCGAAGAAGAAGGTGTGGGGAGTGGTGTCTTGCTTTGTGTTGCCTCCATTAGAGATGACACCAGAGGAAGAAGTGGCACTTTCTTTAACTGATTAAGAAAGATCTCAGGGATTTCAGTGGACAGCATGATATTCACGTCAAGTTTAGTAGTAGATGCTTGGGAGATACTCCACAATGACTACATCAAAACATCTTGGCTAGCATAATTCAATGAGGTTATTAAGCTTGTCAATTGTCATATACTGCCTGAGGAATTTGCTCCCAAGTTTTATAGTCGTGTTAATGGCTATGGAGGATGTCTTCTTCAAATGGGAGCTTGTGTACTTCCCATATCTGTTCTCACAGACATCATGCTCATTATCAGGTTGTCTCGCAGCATAAAGCAACATCTCTCTTCACTCAAGCAAGGCTTAACCTAAGAATTGATTAAGAAAGAAATCCAGGAACTCAATTTGATGGATAGCACGAGATCAACATCAATTGTAGCTAAAAGACAAAGCACCTATCTGTGTCAATTCAGAACCTAATGTGGAGGTGATGCATGTGCATTCAAACTATAAACGGGCAGACCAAGATCCATCTGCTGGGAAACAACAAAGATTCCAATCTTGACATTTCAACAACATAAATGATGAGACTCTAACCTTTCTCCTTTCGAACAGTTCAAAAAGAAATTTAGACCTAAGGAGTCTTGGTCATCGTGAATCATGATCTCAAAGGTAAATCCCAGCGTGTTACAGAGCTTGAGGATGATCTAAATTAGTGGAGATAGAGTTAGGTATGTATCAATCATTTGATCAGTGTTTTTGCATACTCGCTAGTTCAGTAGCTCTTTCAACATCCGAAGAAAAATATAATGCAATCAATGTTGCTACTAAAGGTTGACATGTTTATTTCATAATATTGGTCCAAAAACTCTTAACAACATTTTTGCTTTTGCAATGATTGAAAATCCCATATTTCGTTCTTGCATAAAACATGTCGAGATGGACCACTTCTTTATTTTTAAAAATGTTATCCAACTTGCACATATTAAAATATAAAGTATGATTGCGGACATTCTTATAAAAGCACTTCCAGCTTTATCATTTGTGAAATATTGAGATAGTCTTGGATTGAAGAGGATAACAATATAAGGGACAATGCATAGCTTCATTTAGATTTAATTTGAAATGCTCATTTGCCCTTCTATTCTTCTAAAATCTAGAGATGTAGTGCTTGAAGAAAGCCATCAAACAAATAAAAATCCTAAGAAAGGCCAAAAGCTTTCACAGACTTATATACATTAATTTACCTATTTTCTTAAGAAAAGGCCTCTTTTCAAGTTCATATCCACTTTTACATCATGAAAAAAAGTCCACTTTATGATTTGGGAATAATAACTTATCATAGTTTTCAATTTGATAGCTTTGGCCTAGACAAGAAATGACAAAAACTTACTTAAGGCAAAAAACCATGAAACAGAAAATAAATTGAGCTCCAAGATGGTTTTAAAGATCACCTACCTGTGTTGTTGTTCCAAGATTCTACAATGAATAAACTTTATTAGTATATACATAATGAAGTTATGCACAATAAGTGATCATTAAACTGATCCTTTATAGATGCATTTATTCATATTAATAAATAACTCACTTCATAATAAGTGTAATAAGAATTAATATAATCTAAAGTCAAATCCAACATAATAACTTCAATATTGATTACTATCCCTTACTTTCATAAAGTTAATATAGTCCATGATTAAATCACTTTTCAAGGAAAAGCCAAAATTCAACCCTTACTAAACAATCTCATTTACCACAAGATTAATTTAACTTGCCACTCATCTCATTTAAATGTTAATATAGTTGCTAATTAATAAATGCATAAATACTAATAATATAAAGCTATAGTCAAATTATCAACACTAATTCTATTGAGACTAATGAAACTTATGAAGAAACATCTCATTTCACTCTAATCTAAATGTTAACAATGTTGACGATAGGACATTAATTCAATATCATCAAATACTAGAACAAAATTAAAAAAAGCAAAAGTAAATCATTATTCAAAGCTTTTAACAACCAAGCTAAATAAAGTCAAAGATAGTGTATTTAGTATTTAAAATAAAACCTTCACACATGAATGAATTACCATATTCAAAACTCAATAAAATCCAACACCAAAGGCTAAACACAACCAAATGATATTGACAGAGATGGATCAAAATGCTAATATGGAGAAACCATGCAAATCTAACATTACAATCCTTCGTAATACTCTCTGGTAAAACAAGATTAACCATTATTAAGCTAAGTAAAATGTCAATAGTCTTGAATGAAGTTTACAAGTAATCATTAGTCACAAAACAATTAATAATCATTCTTCAATTTGCTTTCATAAGACTCAAACATAAAATTCTCACCATTGAGTTATATATTTGTCCAATAGAAATATAACATTCTAGATACAATATAAAAGATCATAGACAAGTATAAATAAAATGATTACTCAAATCCAATCATATAACAATAGTTTATTAACATGTCTAGCCAACAGCTCCAAGCATCACTAAAGAGGCTAGTTATATATGACTAACAATTAGTTGAAAATGAAATAAAGACCTTTTAATAAACAAGGCTATACTATGGGTGCTAAAAAGTCTGAACTTTAGTCAAAATAGAAATACTATTCTTATATATAAAAGAAAATTAATATTTCCCATAATAACATTAATCAATTAACTTTATAAGCTTATTTATTTTACTTTTAACTCTAAAATTAATGATTGAACCTCACTATAATAATATAATCATCTATAACTTTAGTGACTTTGTGTCAATATTTATATACTAATCTAATACATTAGTATGATTATTAACATTCTTATTAATGCTAATAAAATTTTGACACAGAACATCAAGATAGTAGAGAAAAGAGTTATCCAGACAAAATGCTGTGTACTATTAATTAAACTGCTAAGCTGTATACTTTT